TACATATTTAACAACATTATAAGTTCTAGAATATCGTTGCAATAACATTGTAATAATGATTTTTTGCTTACTGGGATACAACTATACGTTATATTTCAGATGCTATTATAACGGAATATAGAGCTCGTGACAAGTCATCGCCAGTAAAGAACGACAAATTTTTTCAAGCGCGCAGTGTAATTAATAACGCTAAAGACTGGAATGGAAAGAAAAATAAACGAAAGCCGAAAGAATAAAAATGTGGTCGTTTTAAAAAATATTTTATATATTATTCATCTTTCTTAAAGTATGTGTTAAAACTATATTCCTTTAAAATATAATATTATTCCTTTAAAATATAATATTATATATTCCTTTAAAGTATAATATTATTCCTTTAAATATATGTGTACCTGTATATATTTAAATAAATAGAAATCTTTCAATTAACTTTTATCTGATCAGTTGTTAGTAAATATTATATTAACAATTAGCGAAATAACTTTAAAAAATATTTATTATTAATATATTAAATATTAAATTAAAGTAGACATTTAATCAGGATATAATCAGGCAATAATGTAAAATTAGGTTTTGATAAGGTACAGCCTGACCTAGGTCACATCAAGCATGTATGTATAATGCAATTCTCTTTAGGGGCCTAAAAAACAGCCTGATAAGAACCTAACTTCACGGCTCTGCCTAGGCCATATCAGGCATGTATAATGCAATTATTCCTTTTAGGGGTCTGAAAAACATCCTGATAAGAACCTTGACTTTGCAGCCCTGTCAGGTTTCTAACGGAAAATAGCGTTACATTTCTGATATGGCCTCTACCAGGATTTTCTATCCGGGACCTGATTTGCATTAAAGATAACCTGCTAAGGGCGTTATTACACCCCTGATCGAATTTCTGCTCGGGGACAGATATAGGTCAATAACATAGAAAATGGTAATTTTATCGATTATATATACAGGCGACTCCAGCATCACCTTAATATTTAATATTTATTACAGGAATATTTCTATATTTATTATATATCCTAATATTTAATATATATTCTTATTCCTATATAATATGTGTTCTATTGTGCACAGGGCTTTATAATTTTATAATTATTTAAAATTATAAATCTATTATAGATATACGCTAAATACTCTTAAGGCCGGTATTCATAGTTATTTAAGACCGTCTTAAGTTCAATCTTATGATGTCATGAACCAATCACAGAACCGTATTAGCGTCTTAAGACATTACTTAAGACGATCTTGAAGACTATGAATACCGGACTTAAAAATCAGAATGGAAAACTATAATGCACTCTGGTGTTACACTACAAAACTAAACTACATTTCAACAAGTATTTTACACGGTGTAGCACAGTGTAACACAATGTGTCCTTGCTGGAAAGCACCCAATTGTAGCATGATTATAATACTACTCAACATAATTCAACTAGAGACTTCAAATAACAACTCATTGAAACGCAAAATTTTCTATGACGCCAGATTTGAAAAAAAAATGTTAGGAGGCATTACTTTCATACTGACGCTCGTACAAACCCTCATATATATTTACATATAAGAATCTTTTATTTTTGTACTTGAAGATATATACATTTTTTTAAAAAGATGCTAATAAAGAAACCACATAAAATTTTATAATATAAAATGTCATTTATGGTAATTAGTGATTTTTGTTATGTTTTAGAGACCTAACAAAAATTGCAATTGTAATTTATTTACATATTTTTACTTAAAAAATAAAATTCCTAAAAAATGTTCTCCTAATTTTTAAGTCTGTTTGATTATAAAAATATTTTTTCATATTCCTGCAAAGTATTTAAACAAGAATTAAAAGAATATTTAAAAAAATTAACTTTTAAACTGACATTTTAACTTCTCACAAATGTTTTTGTCCTTCATTTAAGACGTCAGAACAAATTTGTACCAATCTATGTACAAACATTTATTTAGTAGACAAATTTTCGAAGCATTACATTATCTTCTAATATGGCGTAATTCCCAGCTTTTAACATCTACTGAAACGTGGCAACAGCAATAAAGAAAGAACAGCAGAATAGATAGGCTTTTCCAGGATCCTATAGACAAAAATTGACATTTTAATTTTGATTTTTTAAAAGTACAAGAATACTTTTGCAATATTCGATTATTTGTAAAACTATAAAAGTTAATAATAATATAATATACATTAATAATAATATAGAACACATTAATAATAATATAAAACACATTTATAAAATGATAATAGATATAATCTCTCTATATATTAAACAAAATATGATATAATGAACTTGCCATCATATAATATATTTTGTATAAAAATATTTCCAATTTCTCGTCCACCAAGAAAATAAAAATTAGATATGGCTGATATTGCTAAAAGAGGGCTTGCTAGCATGCAATGAAGTCTTTTAGTATTTCTTGAAGATAAATACATATTTAGTATTTTATGATATTGTTTACTTTTGCCAATTGATACTCCTATATTTTCAATTATTATCCCTATAAAATTGAGCAATGTCCAAATAAAGATGTTCATTTGTATTCCATGCCATATAAAGACAAATGTAAAACATGTAAATGATGCAAACAGTTTTCCAAAATATCTATATTTTTGTGATTTTTGTATTGGAACATAAATATATCTGTAAGCAATATTAGAATATTAAGAAGAGTCTGTATTATAATGAAATATATTTAATTTTCTTATTAATTAGTGTAATAGAAGATATATGTCTAGTAGATAAGTTTAATCAATTTTAAAAAATGAATTAAACTTACCTTATAAGAAATTTGTATAATCCTCTATCAAAATGTTTCCACATGTCGGAATATAAATGAATCCTAGCTATGCATTTAGGTTGCGATGGTGCTTTTATGTTATCTAAATAACATAAACTACTGCATGTTCCATAGATTACAACATATTTATTAAAAAAAAATTGTCCCATGCAATATCCTAAACCATACAATGCCCACGAATTTAAATTCTGCACAACCTGTACAAAAAATAAAATATATTCTTATATACAAATATGATGTATATCTTGTATATAAAAAGACTTATTACCTGTGAGTGATATTGTATAGCATTTATATAAATAAAATGTAGCAACAATTCGGTCACATATAACCAGAACATGTATCTAACTAAATTTAATATAAAAGTTAGAAGCCTTTGATAATTCCAATATTCATGTGGTTGATTAATCTGAAAAATAAAATCTATTATAGAATTTCGTGATTCTTTATGATATATAATATAATTACTCATACATACAGATTCCACAAATTCATGATACAAAATAAGTGGTCCTAAAAATAATGTAGGTAAGTACAAGCAATATGCTAATTTCTGAATAAAATTATTTGAATTGGAGAATTGGTCATCAATGCTATCCATATTGTGACTGATACTTCTTAAATGTATCCAACACATTAGTAGTGTTAAAATATAATGCTTCTCATCAGTGATTCCTAGCCAACTTTGAAAAGTCCCATTTGGTGTTTTTAATATGTGTATTACAAATAGATACAAAATATGTATAGTCCATGCTGTATTCTTACTACATATATGTGTTAATATATGTAAAAAACTAGGTTGCAGTATTGCACATAACATGCTCAATGTACCCAAACAGTGATAGAGAAAAATTATAGACGATACGATATACCAATAGCATAATATCTGAAAAATATCTTTGTTATTTTCTTTTAATATTACTTATTTTCTACTATATATTTTACATATAATTATTATACCATATTGTTACTATGGACTTTAATAATTTGACTGATAAAATGATGGATGAAAATATAAGGTATCAATCTATTCACTAATGTGAGCCATACAAGCCACTCTTGATCGGAGATGTCTCGTTTCTTTCCAACCCAAATCCATCCTGAATCAAAATCACCATATGCATCGTAATAGTCATCGAAATCTGAAAATATAAATCACACATAACTAAAATTATTAACATTATAACAGTTTAATTCTCTTTTTTCCTCTCTTTATATTCTTACAATTATTTGCCAAATAAAATTGATATACAGAATAAATGATGGCACACGACCACACAAGGAAGTAAAAACAACTTTCGTAATAGCTAATGTGTGTGTGTGTGGTTACTAAACTATTGTTTTTCATCATTAAGTTAAACTTGCCGCTTTAACTTTATTACAAAATCAGAGAAAGAAAATAATTACAGTGTATCAGTAACAACAAGCAATGTTGCCAACATTTACCTATAGGAAAAAACGCAAAAGACGCATAGTGGCCACCTCAATGAAGTTATGGCATGGAGCTCTGGTAACTTAGCCGGTCAACTTCGACTTTATTAATTTTCATATTTTTT